CAGGAATGTGTTTGGCATTTGAATTTGCTGAATCTCAGAATGGTTGATGTTGAAAGGAACCTGTGGAGATTGTTTAGTCCAACCTCCTTGCACAAAGTAGGGTCAACTCAGAGCCTGCCTCAGGGAGCAGATTGCCAAGTACCTTATCCAGTTGGGTTTTTAATTCCCCAAGGGTGGAAACTCCACAACCACTCTGGGCAACCTGTTACAATGTTCAATTATTCATAAAGTAGAAGAGCCTTTTTCTTACATTTAAATACAATTTTCTGTATTTCAGTCTGTGCCCATCCCATGCTTCTGTGCATGGATTAGGATTAGTCTTCAGTTTGTACTATAGACACATTACCTCCATTGTTCTCTGTGTATTGCATTATTTTCCTTCTTTTTTTTAAAATTGTTTCTGAAAAAGACAAATTATAATTGTGGCCTTTGCACAGAATACATAAACTCTTCTATTCCTCTGTTTTACCAGAAATCTCATTAACATCATGTTCTGGGAGTTCCAGTGATATATTTGTGGGTGGGATCTTCCTGCTATGATCAAATGAGGAAGCTGATGATACTTAGCACAGCAAAGTTGCTGTTTATCAGACGTGTACCTAAAGTGCATTTTCTCAGAGAGATTATCTTTGCGACTTTTTTGTGAGCGATGATGATAGCATAGAGTTTATTTGCACAAATTAAAAAAATGACTGGAATACAATGAATGTTACTGCATGTGCAAAACTGGAAAAACATTTTGCAGGAGGATAGGCAAAGAGCTTGCACTCCATTTCAAGCATAATAGTTGTAAAATTTTGTTCTTTTTATAGCGATTCTCTTGTTTCGAAGAAAGTACCTCTGGCCTTTTCTGTCACTTTTAAGCAGCTGTAAAACTGTTAACCAATGTTATTATCAGAAAACAGTATACTTTTTGGATGAGAGCACGTGAATGGTAGATTGGTCATTCATTTTGGCAATTGAAGAAAAAGCAGTAACCTCCAGTAGTCAAATCAAACAGCAAGCAGGATTTGACAAGCCTGTATAGTGCTGTTGAAACCTTCCTGAAATTAATTCCAGAACGTCTCCTCCTTTACTCTGGGTAGTTGGTGTCATATTGCAAATACGCTATGAACACTGAAAGTAGTTTGTTCTGGGAATGATGATTTATGCTCAGTATGTGTTTCTTTGGGGTGAAATTCAAAAATTCTTCTCCTCAACTTTGTCTTTCTAAACCATCGGTTTCTGTCCAGCAGTTGTTTTGCATATTTAAAAAGGCAATTTGGAAAGATAGTGTTGTTTCAAAAAGTTTTTCATTGAATTCCGGATACTGGGCCAGCTGATCCTTTCAGTGGATTATTCCTCCCAAGGTCTTTTAATACAGGTTATTGAAACTAATTTGTATGTGTATTTTGGGAAGATAGAACACGGCTGTTTGTGGTTTTAGTTCCTTCATGAAGAACTGTATTAAGCTCTCTCCAGACAATTTCTATGCACAAAACATTTCTCCAAGACTGCAGCCAAGGTTATATGTGATCCAAAAATCAGCTATCAGCACATAGTAGTAAACGTGTAATAGCTAGTGCAGCATGCTAGGGACACAGGAAAGATACACAAGAAGACGTCTGCAGATGTGCATGACTAAGTAGTGGCTCTGGTGTCAAAATTTATGCTAATAATCTTAATTTACTATACCTGGCAAGCCAGCTGGTCAGGAGCCAGGATGGCCTTGAGTAAGGCACTTGTCACATAAAGTTAAAACATTTGTTGCATTTTCTTTTATGACCATTTTATCTATTTTATTAGTTTTTTATGCTTTGCCAATGACAGACTATGAAAATCATACAAGTAACAGTATTCCCCTCTTGATCCTACCTTCTCCCTCCCTCAAAGTCTTCACAGCAAACCCACCTTAGCTGGCTTCAGCTCCATCATTCATTCCATTTAACTTTTCTAGATCATGCAGAGACTGTCTTATGACTTTTCTTTCTCTGTCTGTCTCCATGCATCCAGAGCCTCTCTGTATTTTTGTTCTTGATAGCTTGAAGGTGATTAAAGTCCTGCAGCTGTCAGTTCTCTTGACAGAATGTTTCTCTAAAGCATGTTCCAAAGATCACTTGAACACATATTTTTTTAACCATTTGTTAGTATAACTCCAGTTTCTTTAAATGGAACAGGAGTGTTTCATCCATTCCCCCCACTCAAATCTAAACACTTTTAAAAGCTCTTCCAGATTGATGTCATACACTTTGTAAGACAGTCGTATTTATGGAGGTAATCTCTTCCTTGCTTTCCATCCTCAATTTCAGCAATGTGTAATCAATATTGCTGATTATTGACATTCAGTAAATCCTCGTGAATAAATCCTGAGCCATAACACTAAGAGGGAGAATTCTGGGAGAGGTATTTCTGATAGAAGTATATTTGTTAAATGGTTCTGGGTTTTTTTGGCTGCACAAGTGCGCTTCTATTATCTTCTGAAAAAAAATTTAAATACTTGTTAGTTGCTTCTGGCTAGGAGTGATTCCAATCCTTCTGGAATTTCCTTGTGTTTCCTTCACTAATTACAGTCATTTGTACAGTCCTATCTAAAATTGGATTTAAATTCCCTGACTTCCTGAGTCAAGTTTTCCTATTTGTACAGTAAAGAAGGTAGCAAGGATCTGGGAACACTAATAGTAATTTATATGATCCTGAAAACTGGCCCATTTCTAGTTTGTAAAATCCATGAGAACATTTAACAGAAAAGAAATTTAAATATCCTTGAGTTCTCTTATGTGCTGTAATGGTTTGTTAGGTCTCAGCTTCTCACTTTTGAACTGTGTTTCTGTTTTCATTAAGGTGCCAGTGGCTTACATCTTACTAAACATGAAAACTTTCATGGTGGCTTAGATGCAATATCAGTTGGAGATGGGTTGTTCACTATCCTGACAACACTTAGTAAAAAAGCAACAACAGTGCAAGTGATGCTTCAGCCAATTCTTACCTACATGGCCTGTGGGTACATGGGAAGACAAGTAAGTTCCCTTAGGTCTGCTGTGCTTCAAGGGAATTTTAGGTTAGTTGATACTGTAACCTATAATAAGCTCAGAAAACTGAACCAGTGCTATATAAAAGAAATGTTAACATTTTTCCAACCTCACTTCACTTTGGTGCTGAAGTTCAGAAGCCTCCCTCTGTTGCCATGGTGGAGGGAGAAAGAGAGAGTTTCTGTAAGGACATTTTGACATTTCCATGAATGTTCCTGGCTAAAAGCTTGAGGGTGAATTGAATGTTTTATTATGTTCACGTGGGAAACACATTTATTGTGTTCATATTAGTGGGTATTTTAAATACTCAATATTCTTATTTCCCTTCAGCTGCTTACCCTAGTAGCTTGATCTTTTCCTTGCCACAAAGACTTTCTCTACATAGGAATGAACCATATGGAGCATGATACTGCTGTTTTGTGCTAGAGGGGTCAATTAGGGAGACATTTCCTCTCTGGGGTTTTTGTGTACTAAAAGAGCAGACAAATGCATATTTCTGTCATTAATTTTGCATGGAAATGTATTTCTTAACTTTTTCTTCTAGGGTTCTCTCGCCACTTGTCAGTTATCTGAGCCACTGCTCTGGTTCATTTTACGAGTGTTGGATACAAGTGAGGCACTGAAGGCCTTCCATGATATGGGTAAGAATGTCTTTTCTTTAGCTGCGTCGAGTAAAAGGTTTATTGTAGATTCTTTGGCACTTAAAGAAAAAATACAGATACATGTTTGGAGGACCAAATTTACTAAATAGGCCATTGCTTGCTTAGAATCTATTGCAGGCTTCTGAACAGTGTTCTCCACCCCCCACCCCCCGGTTATACACAGGTGGTGTTCAGCTTATTTGTAACAACATGGTAACGAGCACAAGAGCTATTGTTAACACAGCAAGAAGTATGGTTTCAACTATTATGAAATTTCTTGATTCTGGTCCCACCAAAGCAACAGACAGCAGTTTGAAAGCTCGAGTGCTAGCTTCTGAGCCTGATAATGCAGAAGGAATTCACAATTTTGCACCTTTGGGTAAGTAATACTTCTTTCTCCTACATAAATATTCAGATCACCAGTGGATATTAATCAAATTCTTAACAAAAAAATACTGTGATAGTGTCAGATGTTGCAGTACTATTAAATCTTCTAAACAGAGGGGTTGCTGGTGTTTCAAGATGTTGGGGAAGGAGGTTAACCCCTCCTCCACAGGTAGTAAGAGCTTGCGTGGATAGGGGAAAGAAAGAAGGGGAATGATCTGTATCTGATGTAGTCATGCATCAAGGGTGGGCTCCTTCTCCCTAGGTCAGGGGCTAGCCAGTTCCAATGCCACAGACAAAGACTCGCTGATTTCACTTAAGGCACATCAGATTTGATGGAGCTGTTACAGAAGCATAGCAAAGCTCAATGACACAGAATGAGCCTGAGCTAGGTCGGAAGCTGGAGCGTAGGGCCGATATTGCTGATGCTGCTCTCACACATGCACCCAATTGCTCCGATGTTGCCTGCGTGAACGTTTGTTAGAATTGCAATGCTGTTTTGGTATCAATACAATGGCTGCCACTTAACTAAAATGCATGTGTTTTTAACATGTGGAGGTACTCTTATATCTTACAAAGGCTCCTCTTCACTACTAGTGTCTTAATGTTTTCTGTTGCTGCTCACTAGCCTAATGTAGCCCATGAATGTGTTCATACAGTGTGCCTCACTGTCACGAGGGGAGAAAGAAAGGATTATTTTTTAAATTTCTGGGAAGATTGTCAGGCAAGAGAGAAATCTATTCAGTCCTGTCATTCAAATTTAAGAGTGTAAAAAATAATGAAATTAAACAAAAAAAGTTTATTTGACAGAATAGGGGTTTGTTAGAAATCTACATTGTTCTTCACAAATTCCTAAAAGGTAAATTTAACAATCCTGTAAACGTTGGTGCTTGATTACTTTAAGTAGTAAATCCTAAGCATGTATGGTGGTGGGTTCTTGCACGCCTTATCTCCCAGCTTGCGAAGTGCTGCAATTCTTGATGTTCTGCTGTGAGTGCATCTGTCTTAATATTTTGCTTTCAGTCAGGAGTATGCTTTTGAAATTAACGTTCTGGTTGTCCTCACTTACTACACTCTGATTCTTATCATACAGTGTTCTCTGAGAGACGAACTCGATTAATTTGGGATGAAAGTCTATCAAAATGTGTCCAGGAATTCACCTCCAGCTCCTACTAGGCATTCAGTCATGGGGCCAGGCTAGAGCTACTTTAAAGTAAAATACCCCGAGTACCTGTAGTTTGAATCGCACAGATCTGGTCTTGTTGTGCCATACTATTTGCTAAAGAAGACATAGCCTCTATCTTCTGAGTTCATTCTTAACTCATGTTAAGATGAGAAAAATAAGCAGCTGCTGTGATCTGGGTTTTTTTTTGATTCTGATGTCTTTTTTAGAAAAAGGTTTTTATGTGAAACAAACCTTTTTGGAGAACAAAGTTTGCAGATTTTGGTTGTAAAGTCGTTTATGTTATCATCATATTATTTAAACCTTTAAACCCTTCATTATGTTAACTATCGACTAACTAAGTTCAAGTTCTAAGTACAGTGTTCAACCTGCACCTTTTTGGTTAGTTTGGTTTTGTAATGAACAAAATCTTTCTCTTGATGGAAAGTTTAGGATTTTGGTAGCAAGGGTCTCCCTAGCAAATTTTCAAGCACATGCATATGAATATGTAAACTACCTGTTGTAAAATAACCTGAATAAAAAAAAAATATCTCAGCAGTTGTCATTATTACACATGGATTGTTATCAATAAGCTGGACCAGGTGAGATAAGAAAAAAAAAGTGTTTTCCACAGTTCAGGTTGTAAATTAACCTGTATTTTATTAATAAATATTAATAATTGATGTTAATGGTGCTGGTTTTGAAGGTTCCATCACCTCAAGCAGTCCCACTGCCCAACCTGCTGAAGTGCTGTTACAGGCTACTCCTCCCCACAGACGAGCTCGGTCTGCTGCGTGGTCGTACATATTTTTACCTGAGGAAGCTTGGTGTGACCTCACGATTCACCTTCCCGCAGCTGTGCTGCTCAAGGAGATCCACATCCAGCCTCACCTGGCCTCTCTGGCGAGTAAGTAGATTCACTGACACTGATGCCAGTTTGAAAATTCAAAGGGCAGGATTTAGAAATGGTACAAAAAGTGCAGTCAGAGGAACTAAAGCTGCAGGTTGTCTGAATAGCTGTAAAAAGTTGAAAAGCTTGTTAATTCTGCTTTCCTTGAGAATTGGAAGGCTCTGCCTCTGCTTGATTTCGTCTATCTCAGTCCATGTTTTGTGGTGTTAACTTTAAATATGACAAAAAACTTGTGAAACTTTTCATGAAATACTGGTCAGGGTCTTCAAGCAAAATGGTTCTGTGTGGTGGTTGGAGTAAAGTACGAGATCTTCAGCTCTTATTGTCATAGCTCTGCTACAGGAACACGTGGCATTTACACTGACATGACTTTTCTTCATCTTAAGTCTTTGAAATAAACTGTGTACACCATATATCAAAATGCATATGCATTTAAACATATAGCATCGCACAGGTCAAATATTCCAGCTGCAGTTCTGTAGTAGTGTTTGCCCGAGATCATTTCAACCATCTTGTTCTGTATGTTTTAAGAGGGATACATGTTTAACACTTCAAAGATCTGTACTGGTTTGAATTTTAATAGTATTAAACCTTCTTATCTTACTCTGTAGCTTGCCCTTCATCAGTATCTGTTGAAATAAGTGCAGATGGTGTCAATATGTTACCTTTGTCAACTCCTGTTATAACAAGTGGTCTCACGTATATAAAAATCCAGCTGGTAAAAGCTGAAGTTGCCTCAGCTGTCTGCCTCCGTCTCCATCGCCCTCGGGATGCCAGTACGCTAGGCCTCTCTCAGATCAAACTGTTAGGCCTCACGGCCTTCGGAAACACCTCGTCTGCAACTGTCAATAATCCTTTCCTTCCCTCAGAGGATCAAGTCTCTAAAACAAGGTAAACTTCTAGTGTCAATGGCCAGAGGCATGTTTGTGCCAGTTCATGCTTTTGTCTCTTTTAATGATGTTTTCTGCTTTGAGTCAGATCTTTCGGTAGCAAACTGAAAGGGTACCTGTTTTTGTAGTTGAATTTTAACATTCGCAGAATGTTTCAAATACCTTAGAAAACTTGCCTTTTTTCTTTTCTTTTTTTTTTTTGCCTTTTTCCTTTTTTTTTTTCCTCAGAAGGCAAATATAAGCAGTACGTCTCACTTGTTTGGTAGCATGCTTAATCTGCATATATAAAAGGGTGTGTTTCATCTCTGCAATGGTGTAAGAGTACAAAGGATGGGAAAGCATTCAGAGTTGTATTCTGTGTTTTTAATGGGTAGGCAGTTGTCAGAAAAATTGAAGTAGCAACATATTTCTTATCCCTACTGAAGTCAAGAGAGTTGCATAAGTATTGGAGCAGGAATAGAAACAGGACAACGGGATGTTTTATGGAAGTCATATCTAATACTGCTGTTTGCAAACATTTGTGAAATAGGAACTGAATGTAGTTGTGATTCTGGCATATCAGCAAGATTTCTTTTTGAAAGGTTTTATTTGGTTAGGTAGCATCTTGAGTTTCGTACTAATTTTTAAAATGAAAATAAGTAAACCCTTAAGGATTAAAACCAAAAAAGACTTAAAGTTTTCCAACTTTGAATTTAATTTAATGAGTGAATTTTTGAGATTTCCTGGTTCTGAAATTAAGCTTACTAAATTGCAAAAATTCATTACTCTGAAATATTTCATCTTGGAACCTTAACGTTTTTCAAATTCATAAAAGAGCAGGAGAAAGTCTTAAAAACCTTTCTTCTTTGGTGCAAAAAATGTCAAAGAGAGTAAGTAAATTCGGAGAACGTATGAATACTGTCCAGTGTACATTTGATAAAAGCTGTATAACTGAAATTGGTCTTTGATCTTCAATAGCAGTGAAGTAAATTTTCATAGACAAATTCTACGATTGCTATATTTGTACTTCAAAAAAGCTTATCTTAAAATCACACAAAAATAATCAGTATCTAAAGAAAGAAGATGAGTGTACATTCTTCATGTCTTGAAGTGTTTTATTGTGGCTTTCAGCTTAGTTTAGTAAGTGTCTCAATAAAGTAGTGGTAGTAATATGATAGATATAGTCAATAAATTGCGATACAATTTTGTTTTAGACATAACAGAAAGCTTGGTTTTTTCTGAAGTGATAAATATTTAGGAGTAAATTATTCCTAAAATAGAAGTGTAAACTTCATTTAAGGTTTGTATGCAAAGAATAAGAGAGAAATGGGGGAAATACAGTGGCTAACACATTTTTAATTTCCTCACTTTTTCTGTGTGCTTTTTAAGCACACAGGTTCACTGTAATTTATTGCAGATGTGTATGACCCTAAAAGTTTTTAAAATCAGGGAAACTGTTTGGGTGTATAATTTTAATGCCAACCAACTATTGCAGAATCTTGACCTTAAATAGGCACCATTGCATTTATTCATAAGTGAGGGAGTGTCCTGTTTCATGTTTCACATTTATGTTTTGGCCAGCTCCTTCTAATGTTTTAAAAAAAACCAATTAAACAAACCAACACACCCTCCCTGCTACCTTCCCCCTGTATAAACACCTTCCCTTCCACCTTCCCCCCAATAGGTTGGCCCTGTTGGAAGAAATACATATGTGAATAAAGAAATCTTGAGAAACTTTATTACTAAAACTTGCAGGCTCTTAACTTTTCGTACACATGAACCTGTCCTTTCTTACAACATTAAGCCAATGATTACAACAGCATTACTAATGTATATTACATTTTGGTCTTAAATTCAGTTATTTTAATTTGCTTTTCTCAGATGGTGTCTGATCATGTCACAGCAGTTTTCTGCAGTACTTGTCCTAGAATCTAATGCAGGTAGTTATGTGTTAGATGCAAAATAAAATAATAAGAAAGTTATACATGAGCTCATTTTCATGTTTTCCTTTTCAGTATTGGATGGTTAAGATTATTACACCACTGCCTCACTCACATAAGTGATTTAGAAGGAATGATGGCTAGTGCTGCAGCACCCACTGCTAATCTGTTGCAGACATGTGCTGCTTTACTGATGTCACCTTACTGTGGTATGCATTCTCCAAACATTGAGGCTGTGCTTGTAAAAATTGGGCTTCAGTCCACCAGAATAGGCCTAAAATTGATTGACATTCTGCTAAGAAACTGCTCAGCATCAGGGAGTGATCCTGCAGGTGAGTGCAATGTTTTTCTTTTCAGTTGTTGCTTAAAAATGTTGCTTGTATAAATGTACAAATATAGTGTGTTTGCATGTTACTTTCTGATTCTGAATTTGGGTTGCCAGAACTTGCCGTTGCGGTTTGTTATGCTTCTAAATATCACAATCTTTGCATGTGGGTAGTTCTACAACAGTAAAGCAGTGCAACCAGGTTTGTTTTGGTTTTTGTGTAGAATAGATAACAAGGTGAATGTTTCGAAGACACAAGAGCAGAACATGCAATATATTGTAAGCACATCTTACCACAGATACTATGTCTAGATGTTTCAAAATAAAGAGCATCCATGAGTAGTGTTAAGGAGAACAAATGCACCAACATTTGGGCAGTAATAGTCTGTAGGACAGTATAACATTGAAAATATTTACAGGTGGAGGCACATAATCAAGACACTCAAACAACTGGTCTGTGTCCCACAGGGGAAATTTTGCAGTAGCTCTTCTGTTAATGCACTAGGGGGGTTTTGTGTTTATGATTCCATACCACTTTGCTTTGCTCTTTTGTGGCTTTTCAGTGAATGAAAACTGAATTCATGTTTTTCCTGTTTTGAAGTTGCTGACACTAACAGAAAACACTCTTTTCAAAATGGCTTCCATGATTTATTTTTCCATAAATGAGTTAACATTTCAGTGTAGCCTACTGTCTTTTGCTGGAATGCTGTTAGATAAGAGAGTAGTTTCCTACAGGGCAGGACACAAACACAGTGAGAAGAAGATAAATAGGAATCCTCTGCAATCCTCGGCATTAATCCCATTGATGGAAATTGGAGTTAAATAAGCTTCCATTTTGAAATAAATGTTTTCTTCTATGAAGCAAGAGGTTTGACAGCTCTATTGGAATTAGTCATGTCTTTTGGAATATATGGAAGAAAATCCTACTAGTTAAAGGTTTAAGTCCTGTATCTGATGAATGTTGCAATGATTTTTCCTTTTACAGTAAGGCTGAACATTGACTGTATTGAACATACAAAATGCACAGATTTGAGATAGTGGTGTGTATGAGAATTGCATTCTTATGTTACTGGCAAAACTCAATTCAATGTTAATATTGCAATTCTATAATAATTTCATTAGTACTTTTAAAAAAATACATATGTAAGTACTTCTATTATTCCCCCCCCCTTTTTTTTTTTAATGCGGCAAGATCTGAATAGCCCTTTACTGTTTGGAAGATTAAATGGTCTCTCTTCTGACTCCACAATAGACATTCTTTATCAGCTTGGAACAACTCAAGACCCTGGAACAAAAGATAGGTAATGTTATTTGGCTTCTCATGTGGAAATACATAAAAAAATAATCTGCTAAATAGTGGCTTGGTGTTACTGCAGAAAAACAGACCTTTTAAAAATCTGATTGTTATCAGGTAGCAGAAATGTGAAGAAGCTTTCCACCTTTCCCTCCTAGCCCGTTGCATCCTTGGCAGAGAATGCTGTCCTCCTTTTTTTGCTCTTACAAATGTGATTAGAACTTTCAGTGTTCAACTGACTTTTCTCTGAAATATTCAGAACTCAAGATACCTGCTATGTTTTCTTTCTCTGTAGAAAGAAAGATTACATTTGGCTTTCCAAGATAAGTGTTTTTAACTAATTTTTCCCGTTAGTGATCTAAGTCTTGAGAAAACGGGGTTTGATCTCACTCTTGAACTTTGCCTCAGAGGAAGAGATAAATGTGTAATTGAGATTACTAAAAGACAGCAAGCTAATTTGGTTTTGAGAGTTTCTTTGACCCTTTATAATGTTCTACATCATCTTGCCTTCCAGAATTCAAGCATTGCTGAAATGGGTCAGCGATTCTGCAAGAGTTGCAGCTATGAAAAAAAGTGGCCGGGTCAGCTATATTTGTCCAAATAGCTCAACAAGAGAGTATGGTCTTTTGATGCCATCTCCTTCCCATTTGCATTGTGTAGCAGCAATTTTGTGGCATAGTTACGAATTGCTTGTTGAATATGATTTACCAGCGTTGCTGGACAGAGAACTGTTTGAGTAAGTAAAGCAAAGTTTTGCACTACATCCTTTTTATAACTGAATTATTTTGTTCACTGAAATGATATGACTTGAAGTGTGCTCATTGTGAAATACTAACGGAAATTGTCATCCCTGAAGCTAATTGATAGAGTGAATTCTTAAAGATATCTAAACAGGTAGTTTTGTACTTCTAAACACAAACCTGCACTTAACATATTCCAGGTATAATTGTGTTTAAAAACAAAAATCCAAAACAAAACAGCAAATCCATGTATATATTTGAACATATGTGAAAGGTAAACTATTGCATGGGATTTTTTTGGGTGTGTGTGTGAATGGATAACTGAGTTGTTCTTGTCGAAATTGTTTGCAGTAATTTTCACCTGTAAATCATGATCTTAATTAGTATCCTATTATAGAAACATTATTTTATTATTCATGGTATCTATAACTGATAGCTAAGAGCTGGGGGGGTGGGGGATTGTTTTTTTGGAATCACCACTTTTGTTCCAGCCATAGTCTGATTTGAAAGAAACAAAGCATAAAATCTTGAGTGAATCTTGAACTATGAATTTGCTGCATGTTGCTCGATTTTTGAAGAAAAGTTCATCCTTTTTAAAGAAAAGGTCACCTAGTGCAACATGATGGTCTTTAGGTACATGACTACAAGCTAGATCATTTCCAAAGACACTTCAGTGATATTGTCATAATAAATAATTCTTAATGCAAAATGAGCTTGTTCCTTTTGGGAATCAACTTAAGGATTTTAAATTGCAGGTCAATTAATCCTTTCAGGAATACATTTTAACAGAAATACATTTTCAGGATGGGTTTTAACAATTTTAACATTTGAAAAGGAAGAACTTTAATAAAAATAGACTTCCTAAAATGGATTACCCATTTAGATTTATAAAAATATAAAAGAGGGTTTCACAACTGAATTCCTGTCTTTTGGAGGAGAGTGTATTGTTTTCATCACAGGATGAAATGAAGGAATACTAATAAAACTATTGTACCTAGTTTGTGTATGCATGTTGCAATGTAGCCCTGTTCCTCTACGTCCTGCCAAATCAATCTATAATTCATATCAGCCAGTGTCTGGAGCAAATTATAAAATAGATTTTTAATAAATGTAGAAGGATTGTTGTCAGACTTATAAGGGTAAATAATTCTTCTAATAAAAATAACTTCTCGTGTAATCTTCATCCTCTTTGATATTTTAACTTTGAAATATTTTCATTGATTCTAGCTATAACTCCTCATTTCTCCTTCATGTGATATTTTAACTTTTCTCTTGGATATATTTTCCCATCATCCCCACCCTCCTTTTCAATACTTCTGCTTGGGCCAGTGAATACTAATTTATTCCTTAGTTATCTTTAAATATCTACTTGGAAAATAATCTTATTTTTCATAGAGCATTAACTTAGCCCAAAATTTTTGGCAGAAAGATTGTGTGAATATATAGTTGGAGAAGAGCTTAAGTGTAACTTTATTACATGTGGACTTTGGGAAATTGTGACTGTTTTCCCAAAGTTACGGGTTGTTTGATCACTGAGATGACTTCTTCAACGTCCCCGTCTTGAAGAGGGTTTTTTATCAGCCATTCACTAGACTGGTGATAAAGCTAACTTTTGGTTAGACCCATGTTCTGTTCTAGACTCTTAGAGTCCCTTAGACTAAACATAGAATAACATTTCCATCCAGAAGACAGAAAAACAATCATTGTCTTCAAATGGGAATGTGATATATGGTTTTATATCCAAACTTATTTAAAAACTTAACATTGAAATGGAACAAAGTGTGTGTTCACCTGTGTATGTAAAGGTTAAGATAATGTAACTTACGTAGGGTGTCATGGTACTGTGAATGCAGTTCAGAAAATTGTGGGGGTTTTTTTGTAAAATACTTCACCTACTCTGAACGAGTCTGTATGAAGAAATTACGATTTCTCTGTTTTAAAAATACCACTTCTGAAATTTAAGCTGAATAATGGGAGCTTTTGCATTCATGTGCCTTGGATTAGAGTTCAAGCACTTAGTATTTGGATGGAAGTGACTTCAAAAATAGGTGGAATTTGAATATCTCTGAGGAATAATTCTGTTGTTAACTCATGTCCGAAGTTCAGGTTGAGTAAGGATAGCAAGGGTAACAGTCATTCAACCAACAACATTGTTGCTGCATTCAATTTTTTGGTAACATCTTTAGGTAGAACTCTAATAAAACAAATTTTTAAAATTTTTGGAAATGTGTTAAAATACTTTAAGTTCTTACAAAGGATTAAGAGAGCTTTATGTAAATGAGTGTGTGTGATCCTAGTAGCTGCAGACTGAGGAGCTGAAAGCACAGAGGGGTTGCAGTTGGCTCAAAAACGCATGAATTGTGTGACAACTGTCAAAAGACTGAAATCCTGTCTTTCATGTGCAGCATGCCAAAAAAAAGTCAGCTTATTTCTATTTTAAATACAGTATGATGAAAGAAATTTAAACATAGGGTTGAGGAGTGCCTTTTGGGTAATGAATGTCTTGCTGATACTGTGATCCAAATGAGGCTTTCAAGCTCAGCTCGGTGTGTTTTACAACAGCTTCTACAATAGGTAATTGTAAATGTAGAAACATGTTTTATGAACTAATGAAGAAAAGGGACTGTGAGTGGCAAACTATGTGCTGACATGATTTTCTGTCTTCTACAGGTCACTCTTTAACTGGTCCATGTCTCTTCCCTGCAACATGGTTTTGAAGAAAGCTGTTGATAGTTTGCTTTGCTCAATGTGCCACATCCACCCAAATTATTTTTCCTTACTCATGGGATGGATGGGTATCACTCCTCCTCCAATGCAGTGTCAGCACAGACTGTCCATGACTGATGACAGCAAAAAGCAGGACCTTAGTTCATCCTTAACAGATGACTCTAAAAACGCACAAGCCCCTCTTGCACTAACAGAGTCTCACCTGGCTACTCTTGCTGCTTCATCTCAGTCTCCTGAAGCTATCAAGCAATTACTGGACTCAGGTTTGCCTTCACTGCTTGTAAGAAGTCTTGCTAGTTTTTGCTTTAACCATACTTCTAGCTCTGACTGCACTGCACAATCAATGGATATCACCCAGGACAGGCTCAGGAGGCATCATGTTCCACAGCACTTTAATAAAATGCCTATCACGGCAGACCTGGTTGCTCCTGTTCTCAGGTTTTTGACAGAAGTTGGCAACAGCCACATGATGAAGGATTGGTTGGGTGGCTCTGAAGTCAATCCATTGTGGACAGCACTTTTATTTCTGTTGTGCCATTCTGGTGCTACTTCTGGAGGACACAATGTGACAGCACAACAGACCAGTGCAAGATCTAGCTTGCTTTCTTCAACTGTAACAGCAGGGTTGACCACTCAGCAGCGGACAGCAATTGAAAATGCAACAGTTGCTTTCTTTTTACAGTGCATTTCTTGCCATCCTAATAACCAGAGACTTATGGCACAGGTGAGAGAGAAAAAAAAAAAAAGTTTTCTTTATTAATAACTACAGCCAACTTTTAAAACGTTTTTTTACTTTTTTTTTAGCTTTCTTTAAAAGAAAATTTTTCTAAGCTGTCATTGACTGGAAAAGTTTTGTATTGTTAGCTTGTTGGTCTGACATTGAAAAGCATAAAAATGTTTTGGCTTGTCTGTCCAGTCCTATGTACAGATTTGTATTCCTCTTAGTTTAGAGGAATAAACTTTAGACCAAAATACTATATATATATAGTATATATATATACACACACCCTTTTTTTTATA